GCGCTCTACCACTGAGCCCCAGCCCCTGCCCCAGCCCTTTTTATTTTTTGAGATACGGCCTCACTAAGTTGCTGAGGCTGGCCTGGAACTTGCGATCCTCGTGCCTCAGCCTCCTGAATAGCTGGGTTTTGACATGTGTCTCTACAAAAAGCCTGGAGTGTGTATTTTGCATGACTTGAATTCTTCTTAAACTTTACAAGGCTTGTTTCGTGGCCGAGAATCTGGTCTTTCCTGGTGTTGTTCCCCATGAGGACCAGGTGCATTCTGCCGTCTTGGATGGGACGCTCTGTAAGTGCCAGCCGTGTCTAGTTGGTTAATAGCATTGTTAAAATTTACTAGGTGCTTGATGATTGTCCCTTTCTTTCTGTGTCCTAACGATTATTGGGAGAGGGGCCCTGGACTTGCCAGCCACAGTCAGGGCTCTGTCCTCACTCGTGTGGCTGAGCTCTGTTGGAGGCCCGGAAGTGCGAGGGGTCCTGTGCTCCCTATGCTCGAACCCCCCACAGCAAGTGGCTCTAGCCTCATGGGGTCTCTACTCCGAGGCAGCTGGAGGCTGCGATAGCCACTCAGGCCGGCCCTGGCAGGTGCAACATGGCACCTCTCTGACCGTTGGCCTGTGACTGTGTCCCTGCACGTGAGAGTCATACACAGCCTGTTACTGGGCTCACTTTCCTGGGCTTCAGGTCATTGTTGAATATGACCTTCCGTTCTCTGTCCCCTTTCTCCCTTCCTTCCTTTGGGACCCTTGACTCCACTGATTTCTTTGGTAAATTTCTTTGCATTCTTTCTGGTTTGGGGTCCTGCCCTGTCTCCCTGGTGGGCCTGCTGGCCAGCTCTTTGTCTTATTATTCAGTGGTGGCTTTAGGTCACTTAGTGAGCATCATAACTTCAGAGGCCTCCCTGTGATGTCATGTGGCTTCTGTACGGTGGAGGACCCTGCCCTGGGCTTCCCCGTCCTCCTGTGGGGCCGTGTCCTGGGCTTGTCCATTTTGCTTTCGCACACTGCAGGCCAATGTGTCGCAGTGCTTTTGTTTAGACAGTTTTGGGGTTTTTTTTCCTAATAAAAAAGTGGATAGCACTGAGTTCAGTGGCCCAGGCTTGTGATCTCAGTGACTCAGGAGGCTGAGACAGGAGGATCCCAAGTTCAAAGCCAGCCTCCGCAACTTAAAACTTAGAGAGACCCTACCTCAAAAGAAAAAGAAAGAAAGAAAGAAAGAAACAAGGGAAGGAACCTGAACCGTCAGGAAGGCTCTGTGTGTTGACCGTGGTCGCCGCCAGAGGCCCGGTTCCCATTTGGCCACTTGTCTTCTCCAGAGGACGCCCTTTGGCACTTCCTGTCACTCAGGGCTGTCTGCAGCATTTGGGTGGACGTGGGCTTTGGAGTCCAAGTTGGCTGCTTCTCCCGCCAGGTCTGCAGGGTGCCCTCCTCTGCACTCTTTCTGACACACCCAGTGCACTTTTTTGGTGGTGCCTCGTTCTTGTCACCTTCAAGATTTTCTCTTTGTCCTGCTGTTGGCCATTTGGCGGTACCCTTCCTGGGACACTCTGTTGTGTGCTGGGCTCCTGGGCTCCTGGAACCTGTGGGTCTGCCTATCGTGGCTACCTGCAGGTCTTGCCCTCCCCACCGCACGTCCTTGGGGGGGGGTCACTTGCTGTTGGACCTGCTGAGATCACTGACGATCCCTTCGTCACAGTGACCGTTACCACTTTCATCTGTTCATTCTTTCCAAAGTGCCTGGCTGAGTCTCTTCATCCCAGACCTGGGCATTTTCATCTCTAGGAGTCAGTATTGGGGTACTTTTCATTTCTTCGTCGTCTCCACTAAACTTTGATCACATGGAGACTGGTTATGACCACTGCCTGGGTGTCCTGAGGCTGACCCTGAGATCTCGGTCAGGTCTGGGTTGGTTTTGACTGTGGCTTCTCCTTTCCATTGTGGCTCATATTTTTCTTAATTCACTGCACACCTGGTCACTTTTCCTTGGACCCCCGACTTTGTGAGTTTCACTTTGCTGGGGATGACCACAGTGTGTTCCTGTGAGTACTCCTGAGCTTCGCCTGCAATGCTCGGTTACTTGGAAACCCTTGTTCTGAGGTATTAATCAGTCCTGCGTTGAGGGCCGACTCCTCTGCATCAGGCAGGCCCTGCTGGATGCCCCCTCTGGCCCTGTGGCTCCTGCCCCCGCTCGGTCTCCTCCTGTGGGGGCTGCTCTCTGTTCCTGTGCTGCTAGGTCTGCACCAAGCCTTCGAGGTGCACCCTTGACCTGCAAGCCTCTCTCTGAGTGGAACCTCTGCTGCTCTGTCCTCTCCCTCTGCCATTCCTGTGCTGTGACGTGTGAAGCTCGCCTCCAGGGAGCAAGCCAGGCGGTTGCAGGGCTGATCTGCTGTCCTTCCTGATGCCTTGGCTGGTCCAGTGTCTGATGTCTGGGGCTGCTGTTTGGAGTGGGGCACATTTGTTCCTGCCCCTCTTCTTGGCTGGAGTGCTCGCCTAGCATGTGCAAGGCCCTGGGTTTGATCCTCAGCACCACATGAATAAAATAAAGACACAGCTAAAAAATGAATATTAAAAAAAAAGAAGTCCCAGCTGTGTCTGCAGAGGTGTCACGCATCAGGCGCTATTCCAGGCATGGGGACGTGTCAGTGCAGAAAAGACCCTGCCCTCAGCAGCCGATGCACTGGTGGGCCAGGCAGGTGGGCAGTGAGACCCAGCACTGCATTGGCTGCCATACATCTGGGCAAGCCAAGCCTCCGTGCTGATCCCTGACTCTTAGACCTGGCTGATGCTTACTGAACCCTCACTATTGTTTATTCTCACCATTTGTTTACTAGTTCATGGAAATCTAAGAAGGGACCTTCCTATCCCAAAACCTCTTAAAAAGGACTGGCAATCTCATCCTTGCTATTGCTTGGGTCTTTGTTTTTGTATTGTGAAGGCCAGGCTCTTTCCTTACGCAGCAGACTTTCCTTTAGAGCACACAGCTGTCTTTGTTAGAAGGCTCTGTTTCCCCACTCTTGAAGCCTCAGAGGGCAGAAGGGAGGGATGTCCAGGTCAGCGTCACCCAGGGTGAGAGCACCCATCTTTCTGGGCAGCCATTTGGCAGCATGTAATTAGAGCCCGTGTGTAGTCTGAACTCTTGACTTGTAATTCCATTGCTTGAAGTCAGTGGGTCCTGCTCCGGAACATCTTGCACCACAGTGCTGGCCACAGCCTTTCTGTTGGTGTGGACTGCATACTGCACATGGCTTGCAGGGCTGGGAGGAGTGAGTCCATGTGTTTCACAGGGTGGAGCCGTCCTTCAGGCACTGGGTTGGTGAAGAGCCATGGTGATGGGCTCTGGCTGCAGGGGTCAGCTGTGGAACGTGACATCAAGCACACAGGAAGAGCTCAGCTCTGCCCAGGAAAGGCTGGGGGAGCAGTCCTGGGAGAAAATATGCCAGCCTGCCAGGTAGTTTCACCAGGGTCATTCCCCTGCCTCTGTGCTATCCTGTTGGTTCTAGACTTCCTGTAATGAATGTGTGTGAATGATTTCATGCTTAAAAAGTTAAAGGAGGGGCTGGGGATGTGGCTCAAGCGGTAGTGGGCTCGCCTGGAATGCGTGCGGCCCGGGTTCGATCCTCAGCACCACATACAAACAAAGATGTTGTGTCTGCCAAAAACTAAAATATAAATATTGAAATTCTCTCTCTCTCTCTCTCTCTCTCTCTCTCTCTCTCTCTTAGAAAAAAAGTTCAAGGAAAAAAATTAGACTTTCAATGTTCATGTAATTCTGTGGAACAAATGTTAGGTACTTAAAGAACAGGACAGTTTTTTTCTTTTCTGTCTCAATGCTCTCCAAAAATATCATCATCAAGAAAAGAACAGGGCAACTGTTTTCTCATCTGCACAAGCCTGTCGTGCTTTGCATTTTGAGTGCAAGGAGTAGCGTAAAACCACTCTGAAGGACCGTAAGGACAGAAGGTGCTGTGCACCGATGTGCCACGGCCAGGACCGAGGCTCTGGTTTACAGACTTCCCCTCACACAGACCCCGGCAGCCCAGGACCATGGTTTCCATTTCGCAGATGGGGTCGGGGCCTGGAGAGGCCAAGGGCCCGCCCCAGGTGGCAGGGCGTGGGATGGAGGGCGGCTCCTTGGTGCTGGCTGGCTGCACACATTGCTCCTTGTCTGCTGGCTCCACAGGGACAGGAGGGCTGCTGTCTGGGCAAAGGAACATGGCCTGGGGGTGCCTGGCCCTGAAGGGTCTCCTCCCCCTGCAAGGAGAAGACTGAAGTTCAGGGAGGACGAGGGCTTTGCTGGGTCCCCAGCTTGCTGAACCCCCAGATCCCACAGCTCTGACCTTTGCTGGGGCTGGGGAGGCCCTTCCCCTCACATGGTGGCCTCAACTCTACTCCAGGGACAGGCCAACTTGCAGCCTTCTGGGTGGGCTTGGTAAGGGGTGGCTTCATGTAGTGTCCCTTTGCGATGTCACTGCCTGGTGGCATTTTCACACAAGTAGGATTTGTAGGCTGCCACGTGAACAAAAGCAACATGGAGATGTAGCAGCAAAAATAGAATTTTGCGTGTCTGTCAGCCTAGCCGTCTGTTCTCCAGTTCTGACTGAGGAGAACCTGCACAGTGTGCAGAGAGGTGCGCAGGGGTGGGCCTGGTGCTGAGCCCACAGGGAGCCGTCGTAGGGGAGGGCACCACCTTCCTAAGGAACGGGCTTGCTCTGCCCTGAGCACCATGTGAAAGGCACCTCGTGCTGGGGACAGTTCCTCAGAGCCTTCAGATGCACAGGATCAGAGAGCAGCCTGCCAGTGGGGAGCCCTGGAGACACCTGGGGTCGCCCTGCCCGGGAGCAGGCCTGGGGTGGTGTGACGTTGCGATGCTCTCACTACGCGGCAGGCGTGGGGGTTTCTCAGTCGCTGTCACAGCCCTAACCAGCAGTGGCCTGTGTGCTTTCCAGGGTAACACAGCCCAGCTGGATGTGGCAGTCACACACTTTCTCCTCTTCTATTTCAGGATAACGTGTTAAACATCATTAACCAGATCATGGACGAGTGCATCCCCGAGGACCGCGCCCCTCGGGATTTCTGTGTCAAGTTCCCCGAGGAGATCCGGCATGACAACCTGGCTGGCCAGCTGTGGTTCGGGGCTGAGGTAGCTGCGCCACCTGGGTTCCAAGGTCCTAGTGTTGAACCTCCTTATCCAGTCATTTCCCTGTGACCTGCCCCTGGGCACCTGCAAGTGCAGGTGTGGTGTCTCCTCCTAGGCCCGCCTGCTCAGGTTTGCAGATGGTGTGGTCGGAGCCTGTTAGAACGCACGGCCCTCGGAGGGGCTGGGACAGCCACAGACCTATGCCTTAAGACTGCACACGCAGTGAAGTTCCCAGTGTGGCTTTAATGAGATCCTCAGGCCCCCGACATCCAGGACCTGAAAGTGTTTTTTTTTTTTTTTAATTTTTTTAACATTTATTCTTTAGTTGTAGGTGGGCACAATACCTTTATTTAATTTTTATGTGGTGCAGGGATCGAACTCAGTGCCTCACGCATGCTAGGCGAGCACTTTTTCTCTGAGCCACAACCCCAGCCCCCTGAAAGTCGTTTTTTATCAATATCAAGAAGGTAGTTCTCCTCTTTCCCTAGCTATGGTGACAGCTGAGATGTGGATTCTGGGCGCCTCAACCTTCCACTTCTTCCAATAGCCCTTAAGAGTTTATCTTCATCTCCTGGTGAGGAAACTGAGGCACTGAGAGGAAGATGCCCTTCCCACGCCCCCAGCTTTGGGGCTTCCCGTATCCCTACTGTGTGGACATCCCGACTCCTGCCCTTGACTGTGCTCTGGAGGTAGAGGGGCTTCACTGCCCTCTGTGCTGTCCCTGTCCTCCGTGCCATCTCTCCGTGTACCTCTGGATCCACCCCACCCGTGTGCCCCATCCTCCCCCCTCCAGCCCCCCACCTTCCCCACCCCATTCCTCTGAACTCTCTGGCTGGCGCATCCTCCCGAGGTTCTGGTTGGGTGTGGGTGCCCCGGCAGGCTGCCCTCTCTCAGCCTCAGTGTTTGTCCTGTGGTGTGGGCCCTGGGGCAGCGGGCAGCTGTGAGGAGGTGTGAGAGGAGGTGGGAGAGAGGAGCTGGAGCCCACAGGCTCCACCCGCAGGGCTGACCTGGGAACCAGCAGGCTTCTCCCCACTCGCACCTGGGAACCTGCTTCTTGTCCTGAATGGTTGTTGCGGGAGGGGACTGGCTGGAGGACTGGTCCTGCTTTTTGCTGGACAGTGCCTGGCCTGTGGTGAGCATCCGCATTGCAAGAGGCCCTCCTGGGGGCGGCTGCCTCCCCACTGGCCTGACAACAGTTGGCAGAACTTTGTGTGACTGAGAGCCTGGACAGACGTGGGGCCAGTGGGCAGAGGGACTGTTGCCGGCCAGGGGCCGAGGTCTCCTCTCGGGTCGGGTTTTTCTGGGCCTGGAGCTTGTTCCCATGAGCTCCCTGTCACTTCCAGGAGACTGTGTGCACAGGGAGCCCAGCTCAGCCCTGCGAGGCATGCCTGGGCACAGAACTGAGCCTGTTCTCTGGGCAGTCGTCCCTAGGCTGGACCAGGAGGGGACAGGAGTCGCATCACCGGGTCCCCCTGACCTGGCTCTGTTGGCCCTCCCTTCTCGGCTTGCCCTTTAGGTCTGTAGGGGGACCATGCTGGTCCCAGTCAGGGACATTTGTTACTGCTGCCATGTTGCAGTACTTGACAGGGACCTCTGCAGAGGGGCAGGGCAAGTGCCAGGTGCTGGCCCAGAGGGAGAAGGTGGGCCAAATGCCTCGGGGCACACACTCGGTTCCTGGGGGCAGGGCCATTCTGAGTGTGTTCTTTTGTCCTCAGTGCCTGGCTGCTGGTTCCATCATCATGAACCGCGAGCTCGAGAGCATGGCTATGCGACCGCTGGCCAAGGAGCTGACCCGCAGCCTGGAGGATGTTCGGGGCACCCTCCGTGACCAGGCGCTGCGTGACCTCAGCACCTACACAGAGAAGATGCGGGAAGCGCTGAGGCACTTCGATGTCCTGTTTGCCGAGTTTGAGCTGAGGTGACCCTGGGGGCCCGGGCATGGGGAGTCACGCCCTGGCCCTATGCGTCCTAGTGGGGGCCGACTTTTTGGGGTGCATCCTGATATCTCCAGCAAGTTCCATGTAGGGAGGAACGGCTGGGGAGTCTGGTGCCGACTGGTGGTGTGGTTAACTTGGGGCTCTGTGGGGGACGGGGCTTTCCAGAGAGGGGATGTAAGCAGAAATGGCACAGGTGGGGTCTGGGCGGTCAGCCACCGTGGGCCTCCAGGGGAGAGGACTTGGGAGAGGCCCAAGGCGCCAGGCACATTGCGTGCTTGTGGTGGGCCAGAAAAGGTCAGACGCAGAAATCCGCATCCCAGGTGGCAAAGGTCGTGCGTCTTGTGATGCGCAGCCGGGCAGTGACGGGGTCCGCCCTAGGAGGTTTGGGTTTGGATTTGTTTTCTTTTATCTTCCCCAAGGGCGTCGGTGGTTGGGAAGGAAAGAGAAGGTTCCCTTGGGAGAAGGCCGACTCTCCGCCCCGGCCGTCCTGTGAGCCCTGCGCCTGGCCAGGCTGGCTCCAGGCTGTGGAGGTCCACATGGCCTGACCCACCCAGGCAGCTGGGGTGGGCAGTAGTGGGGGCCAGTCATCGAGTGGCGGTGATGCCCCTCACACGGGCAGGGCCTCGGGGCTGAGAGGCCCGGAGGAGGCCTGCCTTGGTAGGAGCTAGGGTTTAAACAGCACCGTGAAGTCGGGCCTGTGTAGTTGTGAGGCTGATGACGTGGTCACCTCCGGAGCTGGGGTTTTAACTGAAGGCCCATTTGGGAGGCCAGGCAGCCTAGGACAGTGCCTGGCCTGTGGTGATGTGTCCTGCTGTGTCCGCAGCTACGTCTCGGCCATGGTGCCCGTGAAGTCCCCCAGGGAGTACTACGTGCAGCAGGAGGTCATCGTGCTGTTCTGCGAGACGGTGGAGAGGTAGGACGGGCTGCCCCTCTGCCCTGCTCCGGGCCCAGGCGGAGGGCAGCCCTGGGGGTTGCGCCTAGTTGGGAGATGCCCTTACCTGCCACCTTCCCACCGCGGGCTGCTCCTTGCTGGTGGGCAGAGGCCTGCCCTCCCACCTGTGGCTGGCCCCATGCCCCCTTTTCTCTGGGCCCAGAGGACAGGTGTTGCAAGTGAGGCCGTGCGATGGGATGGACGCGGGAAGGTGGGCACGGGCTGACATCCAGCCTCCTTCCCTCCCTGCTGCCTCCTCACAGCGGGGCCTTGTGGGCTTCGGCCTGCCGAACACGGCTTTGGGGGTGAATCAGGGCCTAGTTCAGTAACTCAGGGTCCCATTTTCTGAATGGACTCCAGGGCCAAGATCTCACCTCCCGTAGTTTTCCAAGTGACTTGCTTCGGGGACGTTCAGGTTTGGCATGTCTTCGTCCCAGGCTTATTCTTGGCGCGAGCTGTTTTGAGTTCCTGGTGGAGTGGCGCCTTTGTCTGGATGACCGTGCCCTGTTCTGCTGGAGTCAGAGGCTGCTGCTGGGTGGCCACTCCTGCTCTCTTCACCCCTCCTGGAGCAGTGGTGGGAGTGGACAGATGGCAGATGAGGCTCAGCGGAGCCCGCCTCTCCCTGACCTTTTCCTCTAGCGCCAGCCTTTTTGCACGTGCGAGGGTTGGGATGGCAAAGGTCAGCCTCCGACCCTTCTGCTGATGGAGGACACAGGCCAGGGTCAGGCCCACTGCCCCCCTCATGGATGCCCCACTCCTTCCCTTTCTCCCTTGGCCAGGGCCCTGGACTTTGGGTACCTGACCCAGGACATGATCGACGACTATGAGCCGGCCCTCATGTTCACCATTCCTCGGCTGGCCATCGTGTGGTGAGTGCCCCCTGCCTGGCTGACCATCAAGTCCCATGGTGCCAGGCCCTCTGGGTGTTGGTAACGGTCCCTATGCTGCTCACAGTGGCTGCTCAGCTGCCCAGAGCTGTCCCTGGGTTAGCCTGATGTTTCCTCAGCAGCCAAGGAGCCCAGTGTCCTGAGCACCTCTCACCTCGCTGGTGAGGGAGAGAGCACCCGGCCTAAGCAGTGCAAGACGACAAGCCCCGTCACCCTACATTGCAGAGGTGAGGTGGACAGCGCAGGTGCTCACAGCTCAGGGGAGGCAGACACAGCACAATACCCAGGGCCACTTGGGCTGCCCTTGGGGCACAGTGACCCTGCGGAGGCTGGCTTTGCAGTGACGGAGTGCGAGGCCCCTGGGTCCCACGGGGGTGTGATTGGTTGTTGTAGTAGTCTGTGGACTGACAGAGAGGTGGATCTGCTGGGCACTGGACCAGCTGCGCATGCTGATGGGGATACCTGGTGGGGAGCCTTCCCACTGGCCAGGGTGCATATTGGGAGAGCAAGGAACTCATGGCCAGCCTTTGGAGCCTTGTGGGGGCTCAAGGACGCCCAGGCAGCGCCTGGGACTCTGGGCAGGAAACGCCTGGTTACTTCTCAGTCCTTCGGAGATCCTGGGGCCAGGAGTAGAGCCCAGGAGTTCTGGGGCTTCCTGCACCACTGCTCACCCACACCTGGACTTGTGCAGCGACACCCCTTCCCTGTGCCAGGAAGAGGAGGAGGGACAGATGTGCCATGGGGACCTGTTGGGCTCGCAGCCAGCAAAGTGGCCCTGTTGGCAGCTGGTGCAGAGCTGGGCACAGAGCAGGGGGCGGGCAGTCCTGGGGAAAGTTGTCCATTGGAAATATGGACATCAGTAATGTGGTCAGGGCGGGGGCAGTGGGCACAGAGGCCAGGACAGCTCTGGCTCAGGCTGAGGAGAGGCCCCATCGAGGGCCCCAGGGCATTCTGGAGCGCAGGCACACGCAGCAGGGCAGAGGACACACAGACCTCCCTCGGGGGAAGAGGGGTACAGAGTGGGAGTGTGGGGAGGGTGCACAGGACAGGATCTTAGGCCTGCAGGGATAGAGATGCTTCCCGCCCCACAGGGACGAGTGGAGGCTGCAGCAGCAGGAGCTGGGATGAGCAGCCAGGGCGCCGGGCATGAGTCTGGAGCCCCTGGTCAGGCCGTTTGTCCACCTGCCTCCTCAGCCGCCCCTTCAGGGAGGTCTCCAGGGTGGTCACTGAGCATGGTCTAGCCCTGGCCGCTGTGGCCGAACCCTCTACGGCTCTCAGTGCCCCAGCCCCTTCCTCCTGCTGTCCTCCCTCTTCCCCTCATGAAGTTCTCTCTGTTCACCGAGTTAGTGAACCTGGGAGGCAGGGCTGGGGCACACCACACCGAGGACAGCACTGTAGAGTCCCCTTCCTAGGAAGAGCTGGGAATTTCCCTTCACCCAGGGACGTCAAGCTGGAGGGCCTGTCAGAGGTCCCCGGAGGTCAGTGCCGGGTGGCTTGGAGGGAGGTGCCCTCCGGGGGAGACGCAGTCCTGCCCTGCTGTGCAGAGCCCGCAGGCCTCCAGATCCTGTTGCGTGGTATTCTCTCTGGGCTAGCTGCTCTCTCTTGCAGATTCATTTTGGTGAAATGGTGAACAGCCAGCACCTTGGAGTCAGAGCCTTTATTCTGCCAGCCAGCAGGGACGGGTCTGCGTCTTTTGACACTGCAGCTCTGAGGCTGGGCGCTTTTAGCCCGCGGCCAGCACAGGCTTCATAAATGAAGGTTCGGCTACGTGAGAAATCCTCAGGGAGTTTGAATTAAAGAGACAGGCTCTAATTACCTTTAAACCAGCTCCAGGACGGCTTCTCGTAGCTCCAGCCTCCAGCCACCTATTAATGGTAGCGAGGTTGACTGAAGAGGCTAGCCAGAGAGAGAGAACACGCCAGGGAGTGGACTTTTATTGGGGAACAAAAAAATTCTGGGGAAAATCCCATCCAATGAAGATTAAGGGGGGCAGTGTCCCAAGGTCCGGTGCGACGATTGGGTCTTCGGAGTAGTGGCCAGACACACCTCCACATGGACAAGCCCTCGGACCTGAGAAGGGTGGGGAAAGCTCTGGACACAAAGATGTGTCTAAGCGCCTCTCACCCAGCCAGGGAGGTAACTTGAATCACGTGCAAGGATGGCCTCCCACAGGCACTGCCTTCAGGAAGCACCACGAGTCTCCCTGTTTAAAACGCCCTTGCAAGAGCTTTGGAGTCGTGCAGCGCTCAGTGCCAGCCAGCACAGGGCACCGGGATGGGGTCCAAGGGTCCAAGGGGTCCTAGGAAAGCTGCAGAGCCAGCCAGGCCAGCTGCCATCCTGGGCTGGCATGTCTGGGGTGACTGCACTGACCTCCCTGCTCTGTAGGCTGCGCACCTGACCAAGCAGGGCAGAGGGAGGGCTGCGGACGTAGCTCACCATTCGGACACTTGCCTAGCATGTGCAAGGCCCTGGTTCAAACTCATGGAGGCCCCCGAGGCCTCTCCTAGGCAGCACACTAGTTTTAAAATAAACACCAGGTTTCAAAAGCTCCCCCAAGTACACTGTGTTTCTGGGTTCCAAACTGGAATTTGTTGCCCACATGTGTCCAGCTCTTTATCATACTCCCCATTGCTGCCAGTGCCCAAGCACAAGCGGCTGCAGGACACTGGCCACTTCTCTCTGACCAGCCTCATGATCTGTCCTCTTGTGAGTGGTCAACAACCCAGCCAAGAGCCCTCATCCTGGGAACAGAGCAGGGGCCAGACTGCTGTGGGCAGGAGCTTTGTCCTGGACGGTCCCCTCCTGGAGACACCATCATGAAGTCCCCTGGGGCCTCAAGCTAGAGAAAGGGCCTGGAAAGGACCAGAGGGGATCCACAGGAGAGTCGGGGTGCATGCAGAGGAAGAGCAGGTGCTGGTGGCTCAGGAAGTGGATGCAGGTGCAGGAGGCTGGATCCCAAGGTGGGAGGTTCCCCACCTTCATTCACCCCTGTGCCCACTGCTGGGGCAATGGGCACAGAGTCCAGATGGCCTATGGAAGCTCAGTGGGCTTTTGTAGAACTTTGGACCTTGATCTGACAGGGCACCAATATGTATTTATAAAGATCATCCTGTTGAAGGACTGGATATTCAGAATTAATGGATAGATTAAACATTATACTCTAGTCATTGAAATGATGTTAGGGAAAAATCCTGAATATTGTGCAAAAACATCTCCAGCATATTAATACAGAAAGTTGCTGTGTATCTACTCTACAAAATTTCTTTCTTTCCACTTTTTAAACTGGTGCATTATGGTTGTAGGTAACAGTGGGATATAGTGTTACATATTCGAACATGCAACTGTGTAATAACATGATTTGGCCAATATCATTCCCCAGTGTTTCCTCTTTCCCTCACCTCCTCCCTTTCCTCTGCTCTCCTGATCCCACTCCAGTTTCCATGAAATCCCCACCTTTCTTTTCCTTTTCCTCTCTAGCTCCACAGAAGAGAGAAAACATACCATCCTGACCTTCTGAGTCTGGCTTATTTCACTTAACATCATGGTCTTAAGTTCCATCCATTTACCTACAAATGACACAGTTTGATTTTTCTTAGTGGCTGAACAAAACTCCACTGTGTATGTATAACACATTTTCCATATTCATTCACCCATCGATGGGCACCTAGGCTGCTTCCATAGTTTGGCTGCTGTGAATTGTGCTGCTATCTTGGCCACGGCCTGCATTGGGAGAGAGTAGGTAACTGTCGGAGGTGTGGGCTTGCTGCAAATAAAGGCTAGAAAAGTAATTTTAATAAATAAACATGGGCTGGCGTTGTGGCTCAGGGGTGGCACTCTTGCCTAGCAAGCGCGAGGCCCTGGGTTTGCTCCTCAGCACCACATAAAAATAAATAAAGGTATTGTGTCCATCTACAACTAAAAAGTAAATATTAAAAAAAAGATATAAACACAAAAGACGAGAAGTATATGCTCAAAGCGGGGACTTGACTGGTGTAAGAGACCTGACAGGTCGGATCCTAACAAAGGGAAAAGGCCACAAATGCTTTATTTATAGTGAAACACATCAAAGGGATTCAGTGAGGAGCTTCTTTAAGAAACAGGTTGAAAATGGGGAAAAAGGTTGTTTGGGGCTTGACAGGTTACACCCATCTCTGGGTGGCTGCAACAGTGGTAATTGATTCATTTTTTTTCTGATTTTTTTATTCCTTTTATTTCCTTCTCTTACTTAATTGTGTTGGCTAGAATTTCTTTTTTTAAAATACTTTTTAGTTGTAGTTGGACATAATACCTTGATTTTATTTATTTATGTATGGTGCTGAGGATCGAATCCAGCACCTCACACATGCTGGGCGAGCGCTCTACTGCTGAGCCCCAGCCCAGCCCCTAGAATTTCTAATACTGTGTTGAATAGGAGTGGTGAGAGGAAGTATCCTTGCCTTGTTCCAGATTTTAAAGGGAATATTTTCAGTTTTTCCCTATTCACTATGATGTCATCTTGGGTTTGTCATATATAGACTTTATGATGTTGAGGTAGGTTCCTTCTGTCCCTAGTTTCTTCAGTTCTTTTTCTTTTAATTATGTATGGGTGCTGAATTTTGTGAAAGACTTCCTCTGCACCTATTGAAAAGTAAACAACTTTTGTCCTTATTTCTATTTATCTGGTGAATCACATTTATTGATTGGCATGTTAAACCATCCTGGCCTCCCTGGGATATAGCCAACTTGGTCATGGTGTATAATCTTCTAAATATGTTGTTGAATATGACTTGCTAAGTTTATTAAGGATTTTTGCGTCTGAGTTCATCAGGGACATTGGTCTGTAGTTTTCTTTCCTTGATGCATCCGTATCTGGTTTTGGTTTAAGGTGATACTAGATTCACAGAATGACTTTGGAAGTGTTCTATTCTTTTATATTGTGTGGAATATTTGAGGAGTATTGGCATTAATTATTTAAAGGTCTGATAGAATTCAGCTGAACCCAC